GAAAGACGCGCTCTTTAGTCTTCCTGGTATGCGAGGAAACTCGCCCGGCGTTTCCTGTCAGTCCCAACGACCAGAACCGACATCCAAGGATGAACAGAAGGCCCAACGCGTGGCGGAGGACGAGGAACGCATGCGGATAGCAGACGGACGCGCACGCGAGGCAACTCGCAAGATGTTGGAGGATTCCAACAAGATTTACATGAAGGGGGCTAGGAAACCCCCGCTCCCACTACTTTCGAAGGCTAAGAGTGAAACCCCGGCACCGAAGTCGTCTTCGGAGGTGAAACCGAAGGCGCGCTCTCAGGATCCCGGGCCAGATGTGCATATGGAGGCGCCTCGCTCTGCAACTCTGAGACCGCCGATTGGCGCAACTCCGGCACAAACGTCTGAGCCCAACCAAGCAGCAACCTCAGGACCCTGTGGAGGAAAGGAGACGCCCGCCTAGTCGCAGCAGCTCCCTTGCTAAAAGGGCGGCAGCTTTCGAGCGCACCGGGTATGCCCCTGCGCCAGCTTCGCCTGCGGCGGCCCGTTCCAAAAGGTCCGACGAAGGTGCTATGTCTAGGGGTACCTGGGTGCCGACGATTAGGGGCAGCGCCAGTCGCGGATCACCGCGGGGAAACCCGCCAGGCGCTGCCGCCGCAGCTTCCTCCTTTTCAGGAGCCGCAGCCTCTTCAGCGACAGAGGCTCCTATGCGGGGAAACCCGCCCGTGGATCAGCTGCACCACCCAGGGGACACGTCCTTCACCAGTGGGACTCCGAGTGTGATCAGGGATAGACTTGCTCTGCGGAAGCTCCCACCAATACGCTCGGTGGATGAGGCATTCATGAAGAAATGCAGGCAAGCTAACATCCTTCCTACATCCAATCGCACTCTCAAACAGCTGAGTAAAGCTCTCAGCAGGATATGCAGACATGCGCCAGACAAACCACACAATCCTGTGTGGGACCTGGCTTCCTTCGATGATCATGATGGTTGGATTAACCTCGTGGAGCTCGTGAAGGATTATCCGTGGAACACAGGAAAATCGAGACACGATGGGTATAATCCAAGATATGACGAGGCCAAAGTCATCAATGCGAACCTATATGCTCGCACGGTTGACCAACTGGCAGCCATCATGATGGAAGTGGCTCATGTCCGTGAACCAGACGGAGAAGAAAAACAGCGCCTTCAGTTCAAGGTGTTAATGCGGGACTCCGGTGAGCCCGAGATCTTTATCCGCGCCTCTCAGGGGCATTCATGGACATTGAAAGCTCCATGGTCGCTGTACAACTATATTGTACTGTGCGACCAACCTGCCGGGAGACCGGCCCCGTACCCCGAAGTCGCCATGCGTGGCACTCGGTGGCATGCCTTCGAAGGCATTATGTGGCACGGCTTGTCCTGCAGACCCGAGCACAACACGAAGAAACAGGGGGCAGGCCGGTCGCACATCCACTTCGTGCCGACGGTCCGCCGTCGTGCCGTGAACAGTGGGTGCGACCCAGACTCAGACATCATCATCTTCGTAGATTGGCACAAGGCCATGCAAGATGGTATGAAGTTCTGTTGGTCTGATAACGGAGTCCTTTTATCCGAGGGAAACAACGGCATCATCGAACCGTACTACATTTCCCATGTAGAGGACCTTGCCACGGGGAAGCACTGGCGCAATCCAGAGTACCTGGGGGATCGCCGGGCGCGTGTCCCCCCCGCCGTGCTGTCGGCCCCTGGCAGGTGGGCTGACGTTGGCAGTGCCAGCGTCAAACACCAGTGGTCCCGAGACCAAGAGGGCGTCGACCCTCCCATGGTCTACCTCCACAGGGAGGTTGGGGACCACTACAGTCCCGCCAAGCTGGGAAACCAGCCTGAGGTCCACCAGATCTTCATGATCACCGAGAGTGAGGCCGGGAGCGCGGCTCCAAGCCGCGCCCCAAGCCAAGGGCCTAGCGCCGTGTCTTGGCAGGCCATCAGCACCTCGGACTTGGACCAGATAGCGGCCGCTCTGAACCTTGAACAGGTGGAGCAATTGGCGGATAGGTTATATCAACAGGACCCCTGGGCCGCAGGCCAGGGAGCAATGTCCGCCATGGCGACGCGAAATCGTCAGGCCATGCAGGCAAACCTGCTTATAAATGGACTCAGAGCTGAGATGCCTGAGCCGCAGGGAGACCCGCAGACGTTCGGCCGCATCTTTGGAGAGCCCGCTCGATTTGAGCAGATGCATGGAAGCCCCTCGCAGAGCATGCACACACCGAGAGGCATGACCCCAATGGCTACACCACCTGCACAGTCTCCGTTCGGGACTCCTGGCCGCCCTGCCACGAACGGCACCCTCATGGAGAGGATCGCAGCGGCTAGGGCCGAGCATGGTACAGCTCTCCTGAACATGATGCCGCCCGGCACTCCAACGAGTCAGCAGGGAAACCTGCCCGGCACCCCAAGCCATCATCGGCCGTTTGCTGGACAAACCACAGTAGCTGGTGTGCCTGATGACTACCGTGCAAGAGTGGCGGCCGCTGTGCAGCAGGTGCAGAGCCATAATCTGCCTCACCCAAGTGGTCGGAGGTGGAGGCCGGCCTGGTCCTGGGAGCCTGAGGGTCCCAACCCAAGGGATCCTGCTCGGCAGCGAGCCTTCATCCCAGCGTTCAATGCTCACCCGAGCATGGCCCAGGGCCAGAGGCCACCGCCAGCGCACATGAATCCGCCATTGTACCCTGATGGGTCCAGAGTTCCGAACAAGTTTGTTCGCGAATTGGCGGATCATCTCCACAGCCTCACTAACGTGCGCTGCAGTGATCAATCTATGTACCCGCACATGGCCTTCATGCCTTCACCGACGACGCCAGATGTGGCTGTCCAGCCCACTGCCCATTCGATATCGTCTGGCAGTAGAGGCGTGCCTGATTATATCAGGCAGACATACCACACTCAACAGGCATGCTTTAGGCGGAGACAGGCCGTGCAGAGCGTACGAGATCATTCACGTGCAGCTGCACTTGAGGTTGTAAGAAACAGAGGCTCACCTTTGCGAGGAAACTCGCCCGCTGTGACCCCTACCACCTCCGTGCCAGATGCCAGAGTGCCGGAGGTGCTGGATCCATCAGGAGCTCCCCCAGCTGCCTTCGTGCCCTCCGAGACGGTATTGGAGAGACAGCGGCGGGTATCTCCCAGAGCAGCAGATGTATAATTTTTCACTGGGATGGAAGATACCTGTGCGGTATGCCTCGAAGAATTTCAGCCCAGGGAAAGTGTTTACCGTTTGAGTTGTAATCACTTGTTCCATGAGGGGTGCTGGAATTCAAATGTGGTGGGCCATGTCACAAATCAGCGCGAGGGAGATCCTCAGCAGCCACCATGTGCTATCTGCCGAGCACCTGGCATCATAGCGTCATCATTCCCGTGGACCGGCTCCTTCATTCAGACTCCTGAGCAAGCAGCGAGGGAACTGCGGGAGTTGAGGAGCATGGTGGAGGAGATGACGGCCAGGATGCTAGATAGGCAGACAGCTCAGCCCCAACAGCAGGGAAACCTGCCAGAGGAGGTGAGACCGCCGATGGAGACGGGATACTTCGATCTGCTTATCCCGATGACGTCGCCTCAGCAGGGAAACCTGCTTAATACTCCTCAGATGTCTCCCCAGAGTTTCATGTGCTGTTGGGGTCTCGTACTATTGGGAGGTCCAAATCCCCCAACTTGGGCTACACAGATCGTGAAAATATGTTTTTCTATATGCCGTAGCAAACGCTCCGAATCATCAGTGGTGGATGGCCAGTGGTGTGTGAATCCAAGGACGCGCGATGTGTGCTTGCGTTCGGCGTACATGTGAATTGCGCGTACAGAAATTAATTTGGCACTCGTGCAGATACTCTTGGTTGTCGATGGGGTTTGGCGCGTTACTGTGCTGCGTGCCTTCGGTCATTCACACCATGAGCCGTGCGCCTGCACGTAAGAGCGAACGCGCACATTGCCAACGGGTGCCCAAAGCGGCCCCAAGACGACCCAAGAGGGCGCCCAAGAGAGCCGAAGGCACCTCCCTGAACCGCGATTCGATTGCAAAGGCGGCCCAAGAAGTTTTCAAGACGGCGCGTCATACCCCAAAAGGCCCCCAGACGACCCCGTGGAGGCCCCAAGAGTGCCCCAAGAAGGTCCACCCTCACACGGGATGCGGAGCGCAAAAGCGCATATGGATATAGTCGAAAGGCACAGGGACGGAAGACGAGGAAACACAGAAAGCCAACGATGTGGAGTTGTATATTCATTTTTTCCTTCGGAAGCTGATAGATCCAGGAAGTACCAGGTAACTTCAACTCCACTGAGCTAGAGGCCCCACCTCCAGCAGGCACCAAGAGGCGCAGAAGTGCACGACCCATGACTGGCGTGAGACCCTGTCTCATCCTCGGTGGATGAGAACCCTTGCCAGCATGGCAACATCAGACTAATACTGTTGGCATTCTCTGAGGCTCGGTAATGTCAATCCTCCTTATCATCCTTATCCTCCTCCTCCTCATTCTCCTTGCGCTCAGGTTCCTCCTCCTGACCCTTACCCTCCTCACTACCACCCTTCTCATATTCGCCGTCGTCTCCCGCCTCTTACTCCTCGTTAGCCTTATCCTCCTCCTCGGTTGCCCCCTCATTCTCCTTCGCCTCCCCCTCATCTTCTCCCCGTCCTCCCTCCACCAGCCCTCAAGCTCAAGAACGCCTCGTGCGTCGACTCAGTCAAGCCCCGTCTAGTATCGCGACGGCGCTGGGCAACGCTTCAGGAACACATCACTGCAACTAAAGAGGTGCCTCCATACAGGTATATCGCAACTCCCTTGCCAGAAAAAACTGCGCGCGTACCCTGGCAGGGGGGAGCAGCGCAATATGACAGAGGCTGCACGCGAAGCGAGCCTGGCTAGAAACGGTATGCACGCCAACAACACACACTTGCATGTTCATGTTGAGTTATGTTTGATTGATGTCATGTGTTCGACCCCTCTGTAAACAGACACCGCATCAAACTCAGACGGAACAGCGTTCACGTCGACCTCGCCTTCTGGAGATCGGCAACCATCGATTCTGGAATATCTGGGCGCTTGGAGTCCAACAGAAAAGAAGCCTGCTCACATTTTACTTTACCCTTGAGGGAAAATATCACATTCAAAGCTGCGATGACAGTCAATGCCTTACGGGCTTTCATATAGATCGTGTTGATCATATCGATGCTCTCTTTCGTGGTTACGTCATCCTGCATCGGAGGCTGGATCCCCCACGTCCTGTGCCAGTAGCCAACGGCGCTGAGCATGCGGTACACCTTGACTGACTTCTCGCCGAGGGCTTCCTTGCTCTGGTGATTGTGGAGGTGGGTCCGAGCCATATTTCTGTTAAACCGTGTATCGTTGACGATGTCGTCAATCATCGGGGTGACATTCTGGAGCTCCTTGCCTTCCGCTACCGTTGAATCCCAAAGGCGGTCAAAGAGAGCCTTGCAAGTAGCGTCGATGGCACAGTTGAGCCCGTGGAAATAGTTCAGCAACATGGACAAGCGCGGACGCACCGAGCCGATGTCCGCGCCGTGGTGGTCCTCCAGAGCCTCCATCCTCTCAGTGCCACCTGCGATGTAGTCGCGGCAGAATTCGATGCAGGAAGTGATATCTTTCTTGAACCCGTTCTCTTCGAAGACTGCGGTAGCGGAGTTGGCACCACCTCGGCGGTTGAGATAGCGCTGGGAGAGGTACCCGAGGCCAGCAGTGACCTTGTGAACATCGCACCAGATCTCCGCGAGGCGGACGACCATCTGACGGTCGTTGTCCCAAGAAACCTATGCCAAGGCTGGTGAAGCAACATGTCTCCAAACGTCGGCGTGTGCTGCTTCCCTGGATCTGTTATCGGTTTCGGGTGGGCGTGCGATTGACACACGCATGTTTTTCATCCCTGGACCCCTGGATCTAATTCCCTGGACCCCTGGATCTAATTCTGAGCACTCCTTCTGGCTCATGTCCTGGATCACGCCTTGGGTTTGGAAGATGTTGCTTGACCAGCATTTGGACCAAGGGTGAATCGGCCCCGTCGCGCTGGTACTGGTACTTGATCTTCGGAACGTCAATCACCTCGGAGATGTTGTGCAACGCCATCCTGGCCCCGTCGCATTCCCAGCGGTACTCATCAGAAGCAACGGCCTTCCCAACGGTCTCCGAGGCGTACTGGAGGAACAGGGGCGAGCAGAAGGAAACGATATCTTTCCACCAGTCGGGAGTCGAGTCGAAGGCTACTTCCACGGTGATGTCGCTGATGCGAACGGCGCCCATGAACTTGTCAACTGAGGTCCCCAAAGCGCCACCCAATACAGCACTCATATGTGATGCCAGCGGTAAGCTCTTGACCTTCTGTGGCAATCCGAATGCAACTTGGAGGTTGGCAGAGATGTCCTCGAAGTCGGGCTGATCTGGGAACTTCACGACACAAAGCGCAGTCGGCGATCCGTCGGGGCAGATCTTGTGCATGGAGAAGTTTTCGATGGTGTCCGAGGCGTTCGCAACTTCCAAGGCCGACTGCAAGAATGTGGATTTCTCATCCCCTGTCAGCTGCTTGAGCAGCCACTCATCCAAGGCAGGGCCGCTCTCTCTCAACGCCTGCACGGCGCCCATGCGCTCGACCATATCCTTGATGTTGTTGCGGCTCTGGACGTTCTTGACGATGGACGTGAGGTGGCCGAGGTAAGTATTCGCATTCGTCGCGAGGGCTTCCTTCAAACCGTGCGGAAACTGGCCCACAATCTTCATCAGGCGTTCGCAGGTGATTTGCAAGCCATGGTCGTTGAAATAATGCTTCTGCACGGTCTGGGACATCTTCTCGTAGTCCGGAAGGGTGATACTTGCTGGCAGCGATTGAACACCGACCGCTCGCTGCAAAACATCAAGGCCACCCTTGGCAAAAACGGCTGAGAGGAACGCCGTGACGATGCAGTCGATATCCGAAAGGGCGAAGATCGCTGTGTCCATGTACTCGGCGACTTTCGGCGCCTGCTCTTCGCATCGCCTCTTGTCCCATAGCTTCGTGGCCTCGAACAAGTGGTCGGTGGACTCGTCGATCGCGGAGAAGGCTTCGCCAGTCTTGACGACACCGAAATTCTCCACCTCGAGCGTCGTAGGTTCGGATGGGAGCTCCTCCAGGGAGCGAAGCAACGTTGGGAACGAGGCGAAGTCGTTCAAGATCTCGAGGGCCCGATCGATCTTCTTGTCGCCAAGGTCGTCCTTGGCAGTCAATGCCAGCTGGTGTTGGCATGATGCCAAGGCAGCCGACCCGACGGCGGTGAAGTGGAAGGCGTCCTTGATCTTCGACATGTGCTTCTGCTTCTCCATGTAGTCGATGGCCTGGCCGATCTTGCTGGAGGTGACCCTGTCGCAATCGCGGCTGGCGACCAGGATGTTCGCGAAATGGACCAAGGAGTCATTGCAATCGCCAACGTGGGCTATGAAGGCAGGGTGGATGATTTCAATCGTCTTGTATACGTCATCCGTTAATTCGTTGATGGCCTGCTCCTGGTTGGGCTTGGAGTCAGCAGCGGTGAGTTTAGCAGCCACGCTTGTCAAGACCATCGATCGGAACCAATCAACCGTGGAAATCCCCGAATTCGATGTGATTCTACTGAACGTGTCGGCGAGGCCCTCTTGCACCAGCACGTTGATTGCAACGTTGAGAGGCTCCCCTTGGACCTCAGCGAACGTGAAGAACCTGGTCTGGTGCCACAGCATGGCTAGCGAAGCCGCTGGCACGATCTTCTGCTGGACGCTGCCTTAATTGCAGTCAACAGTATCCCGTCGCGATCGCGATCGTTCCTCCAGAAGAAAAAAACAACATTCAGATGATACAGGGCCAGTTTGACATGATAAGACGGGCCTGGCAAGGTCTGACCATTAGGATTGATCCAAACGATGCGGCATGATAGAAAGAGGCAGGGTTGCCCCCTCCTCCTCCTCCCCCTCCTCCTCCTCCTCCCCCCTCTACCCCCTGGCCCCCCCCCCTTCCTCCTGCTTTCGTTCCCCTCCCGTTTTCCAATGAGTCCTCGCGTGGACTTATTGCCCCAACACTCTCAGCAGCCCACCCCCCGCATAAGATAGAATCGCACTGATGTGACAGGAGGGGACATGATAACCAAGAATGTTGAATGGGGACCCCTAATATTCGGACCGATGGCATGCAATTGCTGCGCAATGCGTGCGACGCTAAACCCTTCGCCACTTCAGATACAAACCAAGACACACCGACAGCTACACTGGTAGGGATATGGGGTTTCAGGACGTCGGGGTTGCCGACAGGCTGTTGTCATTTTGGGTTAGGCTAAGGGCCCTGCTCAGGAAGACCATCGCGCAGTGCAGGTGCTCGCTGAGGCCGAGCAGCTTGAAGTGCTTGCGATTCGTTTTCACGTAATCGCGGTGGTGCTTCAAGAAGATCTTGATCTTGGAGATGCCGTCGGCCCACTTGGTGGCAACGACCAAGGCCATCTTGTCCCCCGTCGACTCCGCCTCGGTCTTAAGGGCGGACAGCTTGTTGACGTGCTGAGTGAAGGCTGACTCCTTCACATCCTCCCACCCGACGCTGCGCAGAAGGTCCACGGTTGCCCGAGCCAGGCCAGCTTGGGCTTCGGTCTTGTTGCAGAGCTTCGACTTCACGATCTCGGGCACGTCCTGGTCCTTGGACGTGGCAGGCACGACGCTCACCGAGCGCCCCTTGACTTGTACTGCGCCTTCGCCGAACACCCTGGTCATCAAGGCCACGTCCGACTCCGAGCAGCGCAGGTTTGCCCTCCCTCCGAGAAGCTGAACGGCACCTTCGGGCACTGGGCGAACCACGGGAACCCCGAGTTGCACGCCCCCGAGAGGTACTTGCACGCCAATGGTCGGATCCGCATTCATGACCTTGATGGTTACAAGGTCCCTCGGGTCGACCGCGGCATCGGCCTTCTCCTTGACGTACTCGGCAAGCTCAATGACCTGGTATGGCGAGAAATTGATCCCCAGCTGCCGTTTCAAGAACTTCAAGGTGTTGATGCGCTCTTGCACCGCCCCTGCACTGACGTAGCCACCTGAGTCCCTCTTCTCGAAGACGAGGGTGAGGTAAGCGACCAAGGCAATGTCCCAGTCCTCGGGGCACCTCTCAATGTATCCGATCATGACGCTGAGCGTGTAGGACTGGCGGTAGAACGTCCTCCACAGCGAGTGGCAGTCTTTGCACCACTGCCCCCGCCCGCCTGGGAGTGCCCACTGGACCGTCTGGTTGGGGCCAAAGAAGCAAGTGGAAGTCATGAAGGCACGGCGGCACCCAGGGCATGGCGCCTTGGGCCTCGAAGCGCTCCCGTCGGTCAAGCCTGATGCCGACGACGCGGCATCGTCGAGGCCTGGATCCTCCTTACATTCCGAGCCCACCTCAGGATCAACACCGACAGTGCCGTTGTCGAGCTCTGCCTTGACGGCGGACGCTTGGCCCAGTTTGAATTTCTTCGCGCTCGTCAGCCACCCAGACTCTGGAACCTGGCCACGCTTCCTCTCCTGCTTGACGGGGGTCGCGACGGACTCGGCTGAGGCAGCGATTTCGCGGTCCAGCGCTGCCAGGTTCTCCATTGGATCGAAGTGCAGTTTGCAAACCTCAGGGCCAACACAACTTGCAGTTACACACTGCGGGCTCACACGTGACCGCGCCAAAATCGACAGCCAAAGGCTCGGGCCAAAATGGGGGACGGGCTAGAAGTGTGAGGAGGGTGCCTGCATTGGGATGTTCACCCCCAGGGCCAGACTGGGAGCCTGATGGGTCTGAGAAGGCTGACTGTAGAACCAGCTTCGCTCCAAAGTGGTGGGGGGGAGGGCCTCGCAGAAGATGGCCTCGCACGGGCCATGGGGGCAGGAGGGCCCGAGCACTGCGACCCTTGCACTCTGCCCGCCCACCCCCCTTCTACACTTACAAGGAGAAAGTGTAGAACCCGACAAGACTAACTTCTACACTTGCAAGGAGAATGTGTAGAACCCGACAAGACTGACTTCTACACTTACAGAGAGAATGTGTGGAACCCGACACGGCTGACTTCTACACTTGCAAGGAGAAAGTGTAGACGGGGGGGGGGCGTCGCATTGGCCAGAGTACCCCCCGTTGCCACTCAAAGACTCGAGAGCACGGCACCATTCTACACTCCTCGCCCCCGTCGGCCCCTATGCACGGTTGCGGGGCTGCGAAGCAATATCTGGGGTTGGCTTGTAGGAGTTACGCTGCTCTCACGCGTCGCGAAAGGGTCGCGATGAGTTGCTGTGCCTTCGTTTAAAAAAAAACTCATCACCTACCTCATCCTTTCCTCCTCTGTGATCCCTCGTGCGCGCTCATCCTCCTCATCCTACTCCTCAGCTGCAGCCGTCGCTCTATCTACTCATTCCTTCCCCGAGCCCCCTACGCCACCCCTCCTCCTCCCTCCTTCGCCCTCTGAGTGCTGCAACGCTTGACAGAACAAAGGAGCGCAAGCGGCCTTCGGGCAGTGCGAGGGGGGAGGATTGAAGGACAGAGAAGGGGGGCAAATAAGAGAGAGGCGTAGACACGATGATGATGCTGATGTGATTGACGATGCATTCAGTTCCATCAGCCTCAAGTCTCAAGCGGCAGTCTTAGCCTTCCCACGCATGGAAGGCCACAGTTCCCTGAACTTTTGGACGTGCTTCGCCCCAAGTTCGATCAACTGCGACTCTGTCGCATCAGGCGGTGGGAAAAATTCAGTATCGAAAAGCCAAGACCACAATTCATGATCGGTTGCTCGCTTGCCTGTCACTGGAGGGGGCGCGCACTTTCGGTGCATGTGACACACAATTTTGATGCTTCTCTTTTCTCTGGGGTTCGTGGTTGGCCATTCCCTCTGGTGACCGATAAGTGGCATATCGGCCCATGGACTCAAACGACAATTGATATATCCAGACAAGACGTCCCGTTCTGTAGCGGCCACTGCCTCAGATGTATCGGGCACGGGAGCTGCTGGCCCACCGCCCGACATGGCGGTGTCAAGGGCTTCGGTATCACGATCGCCCCCATCAACCTCTGAGTCTTCATCGTCGGCATGACCATCAGGACCCTGCTCGGGCTGAGCTGGCAAATCGCACCCCATGCCCATGACGTGGCCCATGGCATCACACATATCGGCCATCACGTCTTCGGCGCCATCGGCGATCTCGGAGAAGAGCCCATCGGCTTCAGGGACGCTCCAAGACAGGTCGCCCATCTCGGGCCCCTCGGGGGCCTTGCCCGTTGGGGGCTTGCTAGCCGCCCCCGACGCCGACCCAGCCGAAGGTGCGTGGCCAAAGGCGCGACTGGAAGCATCAGCCATGGCGACGCCGTCCTGGAAGGGATCAGTTGACGCAAGTTCTTTTGGAATTGAGGCCGGCCTGGAAGCCTTAACCCGAGATGCTTTGACGTGAAATTCGTCCCCTATGCAATCGACTACATGGTCCATCAAAGGTGATGCTTCCCCTAAGTCGTAGCTCAAAATCGTTGTGCTCCATGTTACATTTTCATACGTTGCCATCTCTAACGACAGGGACTGACCAGTGATGAAAGCAAGTGTGCTCATATGTGCGCTCAACTTGGATACGCGAGAATGAAGCGTCAGCACGAAAGGCGGATCAGGTGCTTCGAAAAATACACCTTCCCCACCATCCTTCAATACGCACCTGCAGAGAATTTGCACTTTCGGGGTCAATCGGCAACTCACCAGCAGCGCGCTCGTGCAGATATCTGGAGGTCTTGGATGAGGCCCAGTAGAACGCCCACGAAAAAACAACAACGTATCTGACATGTTCTTGCAATCTTTCTCAAGGGAGTCCACCACAACGTTAAGCTTTCTGACGAGGTCGTCGAAACGGGAACAAAGCACTGGCCCCAGGACATCTCTGCAAACATTTTTTTTCTTAGCAACGCACCCGCCGATGATATTCTCGCTTTCTTCTGAACTGGGCATGGTTGAAGCCCGCCTCGAGGCACGTGTTACGAAGCAGTCAGTGCTGGACCACATATCTCGAGCTCGATCCCTACTCTTCTGCGAATTGTACACCTCTGCAAACCGAGGCGCTGGAACGGGATGCTCAGAGTCCCCACCTCGCACGAGACAGGAATGCGCCATTATGTAACATGGCCGAGGGTGGAGGGCGAGGTCAAGAGCTCGGGGTGGGAGCGGGAGTGGAGCGAGGGTGGTGCAAGTAGGTTTGGGCGAGGGGTCACGCTACACAACGGCGCATTTCTGCATTGACCCCTCCACTATGCTGGCCCCAAAGAGGAACGCACGGAGGCGGAGGCGCATCATCGGTGATCGCAGCCATGTCCTGAGCCCCCTGCACCCTAGACTTGTGATAGTTGCCGCGGTTGATGGTGGACCAGTCGCGGCGCTCCTCATCAGACAACTCCTCCCACTTCCCCCTCAAGGAGTCCTCGAAATCAGCCCTCTCAGAGTCCGTCAGGGGGCGATCGGGCGCGTGCACGGCCTTGTAACACTCAAGCTTCAGGTTCCTCCAGGGGGCCTGAGACGGGGCTGTCCTGTTTTGCTTGCGTGGTTTATTCTCCAAGGCAGGCATCACGATGGCCTTCAGGGGGTCCTTGCCGTGGTTGGCCTCGTGGCCCTCTTTCACCTGCTTGCTGAATACCCTATTGCATGCACAATTTACATTCTTTGCAGACGTACTTGAAACTACTTCTTTGCGAAGCTGGTTGTGGGACCTCTCGGAGTACTGGA